AATATTGTTTATTATAAACAGAGCATTTACTTAAATATTTGTATCTATAAAAAGAACGTATAAACATAAAAATGTCTTAAAACAATAATATATATTTTGTGTATATTTAGGCAAAAATTTTACATTGATGCATGTTTCATTAAATAATATAGACATGTTTTGTCTATTTATTTTAAGTAAGTTCCTTTCATATTTTCTGATAAGCTTAATAATATTATTATTGAAGGACGAAAGGAAATCACCATATTGATACATGTTTAAATCCAATCTAAGCTTTCGGCTTACATAAGCCATTATCAAAGATGACAGTTACTTTTTAATATATCAACCAATACATGGAACAATAATGATAGTCGGTTTTTATTGCATCTCTCTCTCTCTGTCTCTCTCTGTCTCTCTCTGTCTCTCTGTCTCTCTCTCTCTCTCTATATATATATATATATATACATACAATATTTTTTCTCTATATATATATGCAATTGTAATATACGGAAAATATATGAAAGAATTATGATAGAAAAAAGCAGACATTATATTATATTTAAAACAGAATTTCCTGCTTAAATGCAAACACACTAACACACACACACACACACACACACACACACACACACACACACACACACACACACATATATATATAATTATTTATTTAAAAATATGTTTCCATCGCTACATAAGAGTTCTCATGTTTCAAAACAAGAACCGAAAACTTCAGTATAGTTATTTGAATTAGATTGAATTAAAGTACCAAGCTCTGTTCCATCTTCAAACGAAATTTTTTTTGAATAACTAATTCCTGAAATTTGCGCGTTTTATAAGCATATTCATTATTAAAATTAAAATTACTATGGTAACGGCTATAGCAATTATTTAAAAAAAAGGGGGCGTAAAGGTTAATAATTTGTATCAATATCTCAGTTACATTCAAAGATGTCAAGTCAGGGTAAGGTAGGGTTGTCTAAATTCAAAGAGGAAGATGACATCGTCTAGTCTGGTTAAGTGTCTATGGAGATTTATGGAGATTTATTTATTTTTTTTATTTTATTTTATTTTATTTAGTTTTTTTAATAATGAATATGCTTATAAAAACGCCTAAATTTTCATGAGAACTCTTATGTAGCGATGGAATCATATTTTTAAATAAATAATTATATTTAGGGTCTAATTTTTTAGAGCACTGTTTTTAAAAAAAGAATAACAAAAGTAATAAAGAACTTTGGATTATTTACCTAACGAGTTCTTTCCTATTTTCTATATATTTACACACACACACACACACACACACACACACACACACACACACACACATATATATATATATATATATATATATATATATATATATATATATATCCTCTGCGAGCCAAATAAAGGGTAGTTCGTAATTCCAACCACTGGAAGAGGCCGAGCGTACAACAGGCCGAAACGTTTTTGATAAATATGGCTTCAAAGATGAGGACTATAGGGAGCCCACCTTTTCCTTGAATGGAATTCTACCAAATACTTATGGTTTCGCCATACGTGAGCACCTTTTACACAACAGAGGGTGTGCTGCTAATTTTACTGCTGACTGGTTCATTGTTGTGTCCCGGTCGCACTCTTTATTTCATCTCAAGGTGCTGGAGCCACTTTATATCGGGTCCAGCAAACCTTCCCTTTGTTAACCGCGTGAATGTTTGTTTGGGCTAGTGGTTATTTGTCTCTAGCCCTTTGTCTTCATTTTTCTCTCTCCTCTTCATTACACATTTTCCTGTTGTTTTAATCTAAAGTTAAATCTCCGGTATAGGCCCAAGAGCGGGAGGCGGAACCAGGTTGCTTCGCTTTGAAAAATTTTCATGCAATATTAAGCTACACACTTTCATTTCTTTAATATATATATATATATATATATATATATATATATATATTTATAATTATTTATTTAAAAAAATGATTCCATCGCAAATAAATAATTATATTTAGGCGCTACTTTTGTATCGAGCACTGTTTTTTAAAAATAATAACAAAAATGCTAAAGAACTTTGGATTATTTACCTAACGAGTTTTTTCTATTTTCTATATATTTTCACACACACACACACACACACACACACACACACACACACACATATATATATATATATATATATATATATATATATATATAATATTAGCGGTAAATATACACATACGTATGCAAAATATATATACATACATGCATACACATACATATATATTTTTTGAATAAAAAATTCCAAGAGTATAGAAAAAAGGTAGAACTCAATGTTCAAGACAGAGTAAGGATATAATATATATATATATATATATATATATATATATATATATATATATATGATAAAAGAAAAACAGACATCCGTCAACATTCATATTTCTCTCACTTAACCCATCTTTTAACACACCTCTCGAAAACTTCTCTCTGTTAAGTTTTAATTCCCCACCTTCTCTCGTCTGTTACCCCTCTCTTTAGCTCTAGCATTCGTCCCACACTCTCATACCTATACTCTCACTAAATTTTATTTGTTTTTTTCTGTTTTATTTTTGAATTTGTAGGTCTGATAAATTGGATCGTATTTACGATTCCAATGGAATAAATTATGACCATGGAATATTAGTGTTTAAGCCTTTTTATCATATATATATATATATATATATATATATATATATATATATATATATATATATATATATATATAAAACATTTTATTTGTCATTGTAGGAATATGTTAAATATTAAACAATAAAGTTATAATTAGGTGATTATGAAAAAGTTAATGTTAAAGTGCACTTTTCTGTGATCAGAAATTTAAAGAAAACAACTTCGGATTAATGAAAACGTTTTAGCGCAACAGTGAACTGCAAGACAGCAGGCTGCGCATGCGCAACGTACAGTAACTTCCTGTTCCTGTATTATAAGCGGCAGTCTCTATTAAGTTGATTGGCCTCCAGCAACAAGCGACTTAGTTTAAATTTTGTATTGATGGGTGTTTCCTTGGTAACCTTCTTTTTGAAGTGACGTGGAATATAAGCATCTAGATCATGTCATTATTTTCACTTCGTATTTTATATGTGCTATCCATTTTAGTTGTTACTGCTGTTGGTAGCCTATAGTGGGTTATCAGTTATAGTGAAGTGTATGAGTGCAAAAACAGGTTAGTTTGATTTGACCTTGTTAGTTAGATAGCCCATCATAAGAGGGGTATAAAACAAGAAAATCTAATTTTAAAGCGAAACAACAAATTTATATACATATAAATCAATTAAGGTCTCTACAATTAAAATTAATCTATTTTGATTGATACAAGGTCGTCAAAATGACCGTAGTAGTCCTTGCAAGAATGAGTATATGTGTACGTAGGCACGAACGTATGTGTGGATTTATGTAGGTATGTATGAGCGTTATCGTAGGGTAGGAATGTCTTTGAAGTAATCTCTCAGTCTTAAAATGTTCCGTTCGTTTATCAAGTATAAAAGAGATGAGGGAGAAAGATAGAAATAATAATAACGATAGCTTGACGTTTGTGAAGGAACGTGTTAATACGCTCGTCTCCTTCTCTCTGGTGACAGGCGAACTTGCCAGTTTTTTTATTTTGTTTGTGGGGCTTGAAAAGGTCATTTGGGAATTCACTCCCGGATATGATTCGGGCCTTTCCATTTGACGAAGAACAAACATCGCGTCGGCTCGCGAAAAGGTCCGTAAAAGAATTTGTTTCTGAGAATTGAAGATTATTTGAATTTTGTTTTTAAATGTTTCCTAGTTTTCTATTGGCCGAAAAACATTACGCATCAAGGTGTGAAATTTCACGAGTTTTGTTTTGGATTCGCTTTTGCGCGTGTGTTAAGCAAAGTTTGTAAATTCTGGTCTTCTTAATTTCTAACAAAATCAATGAGTCAGTGCTTAGCATTTGAATTTTTAAATCTAGATCTTGTTTTGTTCACTACAAGACCACAAGTGATGTGGTTTCTGTTATTGGGTATAGTTATTTATTTGCGAATCTGTAGCTCCAGTTCATAATGGTCAAAGATCCATGGTCTTTGCCAAAGCACACAGAATTTACTCGCTCAAGGCCATTTTTCCCCATTGAGTTCAGTAAGGAAGCAAAGATAATGAAAGAAATTGAAAGAAGAATTTTGAAAGAACGAAAAATAAATAAGTGACTGAAAGTAAATAATATGAATGGAAGGAAGGGACGAAAAGAAAGAACGACAAAAAGAATGAACGAAAGAAAGAAAGAAAGAAAGAAAGAAAGAAAGAAAGATGAAAAGCTGATAAAAAAGAAAGGCAGAAAAGAAAAGAATGAACAAAAAAGAGGTAAAAAGAAATGTAGAAAGAAAGAAAGGCACAAAGAAGAGGAAGAATGAAAGAAGAAAAACGGATAAAGAAAGAAAAGCAGAAAGAAAGGAAGGCAGAAAGGAGAAAAACTGATAAAGAAAGAAAGCAAGAAAGATGAAAAGCTGACAATGAAAGAAAGGCAGAAAGAAACAATGAACGAAAGAAAGACAGAAAGAAAAAAAGTAAGAAGAAAAATGATAAAGAAAGAAAGCAAGAAAGAGAAAAAGCTGATAAAGCAAGAAAGGCACAAAAAAGGCAGAAAGAAAGAAAGAACGAAAGGAAGGAAGAAAGAAAGAAAGAAAGGAGGAAAGATGAAAAGCAAATAAAGAAAGTGTTATGGCCCAAGTTCCTTATACCACGGTGATGGTCCAAGGTTAGAACCAATGAAAGAATAACACGAACACAGGTATGGAATACAAAGATATATTACAACAGAAATATAATACAAAGAAGTAGAAGTATTAGTAATGACTATCTGATTTGGTTAGAGTGAACTATGTTGTCTCGACAAGTATCACTATTCCAATGTCCTTACAATATGCTCTCAATTATCTCTCCTCGTCTTACAATCTCCTCATACCTCTTGAGAGGCGCAGTATTTATAATGTCAGGAATAGTCCATTATTATTATGGGTAAGTTACCATAACAGAAAGAAAGTTGAAATGATGATTAAAAGAGGAATGAAACAAATATAAAAACTGAAAAAAGAAAGATGAGTAGCTGAAAAAGAAAAAGAAAAATGAAGATAGAAAGAATGAAGAAACAAGATGAAAAGCTGATTAATAAATAAATATGACAATCTGATGAAAAGAGGAAAGAAAGAAAGAAAGAAAGCAAGAAAGAAAGAAGAAAAGTAATTATTAAAGAAAGAAATTTGAAAAAAAAAACGATAAAAAGGACGAACGATGTAAATTTGGTAAACAAATAATGAATGAGGAAAAACTGGGACAAACAGAAAGAAATGATGAACAACAAAGAAAGAAAAAAAGAAAGGGACTAAAAAAGAAGACAGCGCAGAAGAGAAAATATGAAAGAAAGGAAAATTAGTGAAAAATTGCGAAAATTAAGAAAGAAAGAAAGAAAGAAAGAAAGAAAGAAAGAAAGAAAGAAAAGAAGTAATGAATGCAGGAAAAGAAAGAATGGACGGAAGGGAAAATACGAAAAAAGAAAAATAAAGAAAAATTGCGGAAATTAAAAAAAGAAAAAAGAAAGAAAGGAATAAAAAAAGAGAGAAGTTTCGGAAGGGAAGATACGAAAGAAAGAAAAATAAAGAAAATTTAAGAAAGAAAGAAAGAAAGAAAGAAAGAAAGAAAGAAAGAAAGAAAGAAGGGCAAAGGAAAAATACGAAAGAAATAAAAATATGAAAAAAAATGGGCAAATTAAGAAGGAAAGATTGAAAGGTAGGACAAAAAAAAAAGAAAGAAAAAAGGCGCAGATCAGAAATACGATTAAAGAAAACTAATGAAAACTTTTTGAAAATTAAGAAAGAAAAAACGAAAGAAAAAAGAAAGAAAAAAAGAAAGAAGGCACAAAAGGAAAAATACGAAATAAAGAAAAATTAACTAAGTTTGCGAAAATTAATAAAGAAAGAAAAAAAAGAATGAAAGAACGAAATATAGAAGCCACGGTAGGGAAAATACAAAATGAAAGAAAAAATAAGTAAAATATTACAAACATTAAGAAAGAAACAAAGCAAGAAGGAAAGAAACAAAGATGTCTGAGGAGGGAAAAGACGAAAAGAAAGAAAAATAAGTAAAAATTGCGAAGATTAAGAAGGAAAGAAAGAATGAAGGAAAGTAAGGTAGAAAGAAACAAAGAAAGCACGGATGGCAAAATACGGAAAAGGAAAAAATAAAGAAATAATTGCGAAAATTAAGAAAGAAAAAAAGGCTCAGAAGGAAAGGTACGAAAGAAAGAAAAATTGTATAACATTTTGAAAATTAAGAAAGGAAGAATTAAAGGAAGGAAGGAAGGAAGGAAGGAAGGAAGAAAGAAAGAAAGAAAGAAAGAAAGAAAGAAAGAAAGAAAGAAAGAAAGAAAGAAGACACGGATGGGAAATATGATTAAAGAAAAATAATAAAACATTTTTAATAATTAAGTAAGAAAGAAAGAAGGCATAGAAGAAAAAATACGAAATGAAAGAAAATAAATCGTTAGTTAGATCCAGTGACAGGACCCAAAGAGTGTGAGTTCAATACCTGGTTAAGGCAGTGGAGAAATTTCAGAGGGAAATTAACAGGAGATAACTGATAACTGACATCCATTAAACATGGCCCGTGGAACTAGAACAGTCTACCCCGGTGAGCAAAATAAAGGGTTCAGTTCGACATTCCAACCACCTGAACAAGGCCGGAGTGTACAACGGCCGAAACGTTGTAATAAATATGGCGACAAAGATGAGGACAATAGTCCGAATAATGTAAATAATGTACATAATACCTCATCCCAGAAATATAGACAGATACTGAAAAGGCCGAAACGTTGTAATAAATATGGCGACAAAGATGAGGCCAATAGTCCGAATAATGTAAATAATGTACATAATACCTCATCCCAGAAATATAGGCAGATACTGAAAGGCCGAAACGTTGTAATAAATATGGCGACAAAGATGAGGCCAATAGTCCGAATAATGTAAATAATGTACATAATACCTCATCCCAGAAATATAGACAGATACTGAAAGGCCGAAACGTTGTAATAAATATGGCGACAAAGATGAGGCCAATAGTCCGAATAATGTAAATAATGTACATAATACCTCATCCCAGAAATATAGACAGATACTGAAAGGCCGAAACGTTGTAATAAATATGGCGACAAAGATGAGGCCAATAGTCCGAATAATGTAAATAATGTACATAATACCTCATCTCAGAAATATAGACAGATACAAAAGAAAATAATTAAAAACTATCGAAAATTAAAAAAGAAAGAAAAAGAAGGAAAGGAAGGAAGAAGAGAAGAAATAAAGCAGTGGAAGGAAATTATGAAAGAATGAAAATAAAAAAAGAAATGCGAAAATTAAAAAGAAAGAAAAAAAGAAGGAAAAAGAAGAAGAGAAGAAAAAGGCAGTGGAAGGAAATTATGAAAGAATGAAAAAAAAAAGAAAAGCGAAAATTAAAAGAAAGAAAAAGAAAAAAGGAAAAGAAGAGAAAAAAAAGCAAAAATTGAAAGAATGAAAAAAAAAGAAAATGCGAAAAAAGGAAGAAAAAGAAGGAAAGGAAGGAAGAAGAGAAGAAATAAAGCAGTGGAAGGAAATTATGAAAGAATGAAAAATAAAAAGAAATGCGAAAATTAAAAAAGAAAGAAAAAGAAGGAAAGGAAGGAAGAAGAGAAGAAATAAAGCAGTGGAAGGAAATTATGAAAGAATGAAAAATAAAAAGAAATGCGAAAATTAAAAAAGAAAGGAAGAAAAGAAGGAAGAAAAAAGAAAGAAAGAAATGAAGAAATAAATAAAGAAACACCTGAGCAAAGATAGCAAAGCAAAACAAAATGAGCAGAAAATGCGAAAATTAAGAAAGGAAGGAATGAAGGAAGGAAGAAAGAGAGAAAGAAGCCACTGACGTGAAAATATGAAAGAAAGAAAAATAAGATAAAAGATGCGAAAATTAAGAAAGAAAGAAAGAGGGAAGAGAAGCAAGAAAGAGAAAAATGAACAGAAGTGAAGATACGAAAGAAAGAAAAAAAAAGGGAAAATTATGGAAGGAAGGGAGGAAGGAATATAGAAAGAAAGAGTGCACAGAAGAGAAAATACGAAAGAAAGGAAAAAAAAAAAAGGAAAAAATTGTGAAAATGAAGAAAGAAATAAAGAAAGGAAGGATGAAAGAATGCATGGAAGGGAAAATACGAAAAGAGAAAAAAGGAAGAAAAAATTGCAAAAACTAAGAAAGAAAGAAAAAAGGAAGAAAGAGAGAAGAAAGAATAAATTGAAAGTAAAAAAAAAAAAAATGAAATTAAAAAAAAAAAATGAAAAAAAAATAATAATCATAAAAAATAGTTCGTGTAAAATGAAAATTGTTCAATACTTTTGATAGTCAGAGTTTATTTTTCGATCTTGCACAAATTATCAAGTGGTGTAAAAAAAAATCTGCTGGTTAAATTCAATGTCTGGAAGACCAAAATAGTTACATCCCGTCATCGCCGATCGGATTCATCTTGGTGAGCGGTTGTCCCTTCGGGTCGGCAACGTGCTTTGAAAGACTATTCGACCTCAAACTAGCAGCTGACCTCATGTGAAAGGCTTACATACGAGCCATTGCTAAGGATGCCTGTAAAATAGTCGTCTCCCTGTACAGATCCAGTAAGTAGCCGTACAGATAAATAGCGGTACAGTAGACAATCATTTCACCATCCTTTTGCGATGGCACGAATATGTGCGTTCTGTTTGAGGTCGAAGTGAGCTTTAGACCAAGTAGACATTCATCAGGATTGACGCAGGGTTAGGGCCTGCTCGATGGTAAAGAAATATTAAGAGTTAATTTCTGGAGAGATAAAAGGAAAGGAAAATTCTTTCGCCATCCTTTGCGAAAGCACGAATATGCGGGGTTTATTTGAGGTTGGGGTGAGCTTTAGATGGATCTCCCTTTGGGTAAGCAACGTGCTTTGAAAGACCATTAGACCTCAAACTCGCACCTGACCTCATGTGAAACTCTTACATACGAGCCATTGCTAAGGATGAAGATAAAATTGTCGGCTCTTGTACAGCTCTATGAAGTAGCGTAGTGTAGACAATCATGTCACTATCGTTTGCGATGGCACGAATATGAGCGTTCTGTTTTAGCTCAGGGTAAGCTTTAGGATTGATGCAGGGTGAGGGCCTGCTCGATGGTGATGAAAATGCGAAAGAGTTGCGCATTTTCTGGGACCCATACAAAGAAGGGACAATACTTCCAGCATCCTTTACAATGGCATCAATATGCACGTTCTATTTGAAGCTTCCGACCAAGTAAACCTTCGAGGCAAAGAGTCTCTTTGAGTGTATGTCCACTCATCAGGATCTATGCAGGGTTAGGGCCTGCTCACTGGTGATGAAATGTTAAGAGTTAGGTATTTTCTTGAGCGATACAAGGAAAGGACAATCATTTCACCATCCTCTGCGATGTCCCGAATATGCGCGTTTTATCTGAGGTCGGGGTGAGCTTTTGACATATGTCCTTTCGGGAGGGAACGCTTGAAAGAATATTGCCCCAACCCTCACCACCACATGTGGGACTCTTACATACAATCCATTGCTCTGGATTCAGATAAAATGACCGTCTACCTGTATCGGTCCAGTAAGTTGAGGTAGTGATAATTAGCGGTACAGTAAATACCCCCTGCTATCCTTTACCTTTGTAAGAACCAGATCAGGCCCAAAATGGCGTACTGCTGCCATATTTCGTCGGGAGATGCCCAGGGCTCAGTCTCCAGCATTGATAAAATCCAAAAGCGTCTCCAAGCCCTTGTGGGTGACGAATTATTCTCCACCCTTCAACCTCTGACTCTATCGCTACTTCCACGGAAAGTGCTCGGCTGAACTACATTCCCTGGTCCCGCCAAGTCAAACCAACACGGCAAGGACACGCCATGCCACTCACATTGTAGCAACCCACCCTCATTCCCTCCGTATTCCATCGCTGAGAAGTAAGCTTCAGTCGAAAATCTTCGTCCTGCGAACCACTGCTCTGTGGAACCGACTCCGAAGAGGATGTTTCCCCGATTACTATAATCTTAACCTGTTCAAGAGGAGGGTTAACCGTTATCTTCCACGAGAAATGAATATGTATATAAGTGAAATAAAGGAAAATATAGAAGAAATTTAGCAGGAAGTAAAATCAAGTTGGTTTTGAACAAAGTAGAAAAAATGAATTAAAGGAAAAATATTCATAAACAAAAAGGTAAGAGTATTAAAAACGAACTAACAAAAGAATGAAAATTTATGAAAGAAAGAAAACGAAAGAATTAAGAATAAATGAACGAACGAACGAGAAGAAAAACTAGAAAAAAAAACTGCCAAAGAAAGGACAATTAATGGAAGAAACTTAAAAAGGAAAAGGAGGAAAGCGTAAGCAGAAAGTAGGAAAGCGAGAAAGAAAGAAAGAAAGAAAGAAAAAAAAGAAAGAAAGAAAGAAAGGCAAGACAATGAATGTAGAGATGAAAGTTTAAAAGAAAATAATTACAAAACTGGACAGACACCAAAATAATCAAACGAGCGGGAGAAACCGAGGAATGAAAACAAGACGGGAGGAAGAAGAATTGAAAGAAAGAAAGAAAAAAAGAAAGAAAGAAAGAAAGAAAAAAAGAAAAAAAGAAAGAAAGAAAGAAAGAAAGAAAGGTCAGTTAATGAAGAGAACAACAAAAAGGGGAAATAAATAAATAAATAAAGAAAGAAAGACAGAAAGAAAGAAAAAATAATGAAGTGAAGAAAGTTAAAAAGAAAAAGGGGAAGAAGTAAAGAAAGAAAGAAGGAAAAAGGGAAAGAAAGAAAGAAAGATAGGATTATTAATGAAGAGAAGAAAGATAAAAAAGAAAAGGGGGCAGGCAAAAGAAAGAAAGAAAGAAAGAAAGAAAGAACAATTAATGAAGAGAAGAAAATAAAAAAGAAAAGGGGGGAAGGAGTAAAAAAAAGAAAGAAAAGAAAAGAAAAGTAAAAAAGTAAAAGAAAGAAAGAAAGAAAGAAAGAAAGAAAGATAGGATTATTAATGAAGAGAAGAAAGATAAAAAAGAAAGGGGGGGCAGGAAAAGAAAAGAAAGAAAGAAAGAAAGAAAGAAAAAACAATTAATGAAGAGAAGAAAAAAAAAGAAAAGGGAAGAAGTAAAAAAAAAAGAAAGAAAGAAAGAAAAAGTAAAAAGAAAGAAAGAAAGAAAGAAAGAAAGGAAAGATAGGATTATTAATGAAGAGAAGAAAGATAAAAAAAGAAAAGGGGCAGGAAAAGAAAGAAAGAAAGAAAGAAAGAAAGAAAGAAAAAGAACAATTAATGAAGAGAAGAAAGTAAAAAAGAAAAGGGAAGGATAAAAAAAGAAAGAAAGAAAAGAAAGAAAAACTAAAAGAAAGAAAAGAAAGAAAGAAAGAAAGAAAAGGATTATTAATGAAGAGAAGAAAG